CTTGTTGTAGAGCGGGGCCCCCCCCCCCCCCCCCCCCCCATTTTGTTGCAAATCCCAGGGACTTTTTGCAATAGAAGTGGCAAACACTGGCAGTGATATTGCAGTGTTGAGCAGGGAGGCAATAAAAGTGTCTTGGGTTTAGACCAGGGGTGGACAATTATTTTGGGCAGAGGGCCGCTTACTGAGTTTTGGGAAGCCATTGAGGGCCGCATGACAGGCAGCCCAGGGCAAATAAATACAAATTTTCTAAATTTTTTAGGGGCCCCACGGGCCGGATAGAATGGCCTGGCAGGCCGCACCCAACCCCTGGGCCACATTTTGCCCACCCCTGGTTTAGACCTTGCCCTTTCTAACACCAGGGCACCCAGTTTGCTGTTTGTAGAAGCATCTCTACAAGGAGTAAGCTTATACAGGTGGACATGATCTAGGACTGTAGTATCTTTCATGACGAGAGTGGTTTTTAGTATTGCAAATAGTTGTGCATGTATTTAAAACTCAGGCTTGTCTGCTGGCAGCACTGGATTTGATATCAATGAAATATGTTATTACAGACTGGAATTTGGGATTTAATTTTTCAGTTCATCTTCCTGCACCATCTAAAAATTACAGTCTGGATGACACAGCTTGTTTCATCATTCCAGTCTGTCCATGATGAGTGAATGCTCTGGGGCAGTGAACTTCTCATTCACTGGCTGCCCCTTTTAAACTTCATCCTCAGGAATGCTATCCAATGGCACAAGTACTTCTAGACCCTGCCAATCAAATAGGACACGTGCATAATATGCTATAGTGTGGGATCTTCTGCTCATAGAAAAATTACTCTGTGTGGCTCTTATCTGTGGGACCTGCTACCCTGGCCCACTTTGCCAGCCTCCGTTTTCTCCTCCGTTCAGGCCAATGAATTTACTTCACTGCTGTTGGCCCTTTTATACAAGGGCTGATTTTGACTTGACGAGATCCCAACACTGTTGAGCCCTAAGGGTGCCCTTTGTAATAAAGCAAGGCACATGAATGCCAAGTACAGATAGAGAACATTTTGGCCTTTATCAAAGTAGTTAATGAATCTAATATTAACCTGTAGTTAACTTTAAATGCTAATTTATATGCAGAAATCTTCAGTAATGTAAAGTTCAATTTGCAGGTGTCTAACAGTGCCCAGTGCACCTTGTGCCCTTCTAGAATGTGAGAGTCTAATTTAGAAAACCCCAAACTGAAAAGAAACAGGGGGGAAAAGCCATGTTCGGGTTCATGTAACAAGGAAATTAGCATACACGGAAAAACAAGATCTGAATGTCAGAAATCCAGGGACACTGCTCCCTTAGTGACCTGGAGGGAGATCCTAGTACGGTCGGTACCCTTCCCTGATGTACATATTTATCTTGTGTCCTCCAGATCATTGGCAGTGCTTACAGCACATTGGCCTATATGTCCTGATGTGGTGTTATGGCAGGCAGAGAAAATAGGTAGTTTTAGGGATCGGTAAGAGACTTGAGAGTTTCCCAGCTTTTCTTGGCAGTCCCACAGGCTGTGTGGAAATGTCTATCTCTCTAGTTCCCTCTCAGTTGTGGATCACCTTGTCTTAACATCTAGTCTAAGTCCCTTCTTTCACCATGCTTACAAACACAATTATAAAGCCAAGCTCCACGTTGTTCCATCATGTGTCTTGTCTTCTGTCTACTTTCTAATTTATGAACTTCTCGGGCTGGAGCTGCAATTATTTCTGTTTTTTGTTAACTTAGTATACATAGACATTTCCCCCATAATAAATAATGATAATATAGGTGACGTCAGCATATCTGTTCATCCTCTGGCCACAAGTGGAATGATTTTGCTGGCTATATGTGATACTCTAGCCAGGGACCATAAATACCCATTAGCCTGTTTCTTTTTAAATCGTAACTTCCCCCTTTATGGGATTCCACTTGTCTTGGTTGAGGTCACAGTGTAGAACGCAATCCAAAATTGCCTGGAAATGTATTTCCTATTGTCATCTTACTAACCTAATGTTTCCAGTTCAACAGACATCTGAGCTACTCTGTACTGTGTCAGTTTCAGCCTCCTGCCTCAGGAAGGTCACTAATGATACTTTAGATCAACATTTAAGAAAACTAGAGGAGCCCGGAAGGTCACTGGAACTGGAACAGACTGTGACTTCCAGAAGGTGACAGATGAGT